GTGGGGGGGTTATTGAGGTGAGGGTGGGGGGGTTATACCCACCCCCCTCAGTTTTTCCCTCCTGCAGCCAAACTGGTGCAATGAATGGAAATGATTGTTTGGATCAAAGTGTCTCCGTCTCCTTCGGCTCATTTATTACAGATGGAAACATTTGGTCCTTTTTTCCCTGAATCAGGATTAAGTGGATGAAATTCTTCAGGCTGCAAAAACAAACATTCTCTGGAAAGGCCAAGATGGCCGCCTCAGACAGGGATCAGAGCCTCATATCTCTGTCCTTAAAGATGGAATCTGTGGCTGGATGTTGGTGGGCGGCGGCGTGGACGTGAGCGCCGCCCTCTGCCGCGTTCATTCATGTGCTAATTGGCGGCGTGAGCCCCCCCCCCCCTCTGCTTTCTGGGAGATTTGACCAGGATGAACTGTGGGGCTGTCTGATAAAGGGACCCATGCTGGGTGTCCTGCTAAATCGCTGTCTGCACAGTCAGCAGACGTCTAATCCACGGCCTGGGGGGGGCTATGGGGGGGTTGTACCTGAACAATCACAGAAAAGGATTAGAATAATAAATATGATAAATAAAGCCTCTGAATAGACCTGCTTAGTCAGAAGGATCCAGCAGGAAGGCAGAGAGGAACGGTCCGGCTGCTGACTCCTCTGGGCTGGAAACATGTCGCATCAAACAGCGGACAGATCTAGAGTCCTAGAGTGTGACCTGTTGATGATGATGATGGGGGGAGGAAGGACGCTACCTCTGCCATGTTTGTTTTTTATTTTCTCTTTGCATTAACGGACATTAAACACCTGACGCTGCTTTAAAAAAACAACCCAAAGAAGCGACGCTAACAGGATCTAGATTTTGGTTCCTAGAATGGGAGATTTTCTCTTCATCAGTTTCTACCAACGTGATGATGTTCCTCCTCTCAGCCCGGCCGGGATTAAACCTGTCTCAGTGTGCAGCGGGGGGGGTGCAGCATCACCAGCCACCCTCCTCTTCCTCACTCACACTGGTTCTAATGGTTTACAGAGCAGATGTCTTCAAAGTGCAGCTCTTTGTAGAACTTTGTTCATGTTGATTGAGGTCGTCTTTAAAAGGACCAATCAGAGTCCTGCAGCTCATTATGGTTTACTGATTGGTTGATGGATGGACTTTATTGATCTCACCGTGGAGAACGTTCCATCAGCTCAAACAGGCAGAGAAGAAGAAGAAGGTTCATACAGAAATAAACATAAAACAGATTTGAAGCAGATTTAAGTTGAAAACTGCAGAAACCAACAACAGACAGGAAGTAGTTCATCCTTCTTTGAACTTTCTGCTTCCTGATAATGAAGTAACACACATCGCTCTGCAGATAACAGACCTGCAGCATCTATTGGTTGCGGTTCTAGGCCACTCTGCATGGGTTTGAAGTGGGCAGCGTACTGCAGCCTCAGCAGGCGGCTGCGCTGCACCTTCAGAGGCTAATGGCTCCTTCACAGCCATTAGCGGCTACTAGCCGCATCAGCGTGTCTGCCTGCTGCTCCTCATCATCCTCTGCTCATGTAGAGCAGCTGCTCATCATCAGCCTGTTTGTAGTGAAATATGGCCACACTCCTTCATCATCCTCACAGCAGAATGATGTCATAGAGATGACATCATTATTAAACTCTCACTGCTTGGAGAAGTTTTCTTTGTTTTATGATCAATCAGGAAGTTCTGGTTTATCTTGACCTGCTTTGGTCAAAGTTTGGTTTCCAGGATGAAAAGCTTCTCTAACCCTCCTCCATGTGCTGCTTCCCTGGTGTGACGCTGATGTGTTTGTCGTTGGCCAGCGGAGGAGATGCCAGCGGTGACCAACGTCACGGTCAGCGATGTGTCCTGGGAGAGTTTCCTCCTGTCCTGGTCGGCTGATGACGGGGCCTTCCAGGCCTTTCTGATCCAGCTCACTGACGCTGAGACGGGCGCTGAGTGGCAGAACTACACAGTGCCCGGCGACGTGCGCAGCCTCGCGCTCTCAGGCCTCTCCCCCAGCACCTGGTACAGCGCGGGGCTGTACGGGGTGCACCAGGGGGCGCTCTTAGACCCGGTGTTTGCAGACACCATTACAGGTACGATCTGAGTCGGTACTGGGGCCTCCCTCTGTCCTCCTCCTCCCACTCTCTGCTGTATGCTGGGAACACTTTCTGCCTAAATCACAGTCATGGAGACACGCAGTCCACAGAAAACCTCCCTGTAATATCATTCAAAAGCAAAACACAAAATGCAGTTTTTAATGGTTTTATATTCAGGGTCTACGGAATCCAAACCTCCTCAGTCCTCAGAGAAAAGGTGCTTTTAAAGAAAGATACTCTGGAAAAATGATAATAATAACAGCAGACAACCTGGAATCAGCTTCACCTCTCAGGCTCTCCTCCTCCCAGTGTTTTACAGGTTCTAATCACTGTGACATCAGCTGGCGAATGTTTGCAGGTTTCCTCTGCACCCCCCTAACACACACACCCCCACCCCCCCACCAAACCTGTGAGCTCTGCTCACAAAAAGAGTCTGTTATGGGAGGCGGCGTGCTGCAGAGCCAGGGCGCCTCTGAGAAGCAGAAGCTCAGCTCTGTTCCCGTTACTTTAAACCAGCAGCTAGAGCTGAGATGAGGAGCTGGGATCCTCCTCTAGTTCCTCCTGCAGTGAGGATGTTAGTTTTCCCTTTAAACAAATTAGCAAAATATTCCCAAAGGAGTAAGTCATGATAAT